GCGCACCTGGCGCGCCTGGCGCACTTGGCGCGAATGGCGAACCTGGCGCACTTGGCGCATCTGGCGCACCTGGCGCACCTGGCGCGCCTGGTGCACCTGGCGCGCCTGGCGCACTTGGCGCGGCTGGCGCACCTGGCGCACCAGGCCCACTTGGCGCGGCTGGCGCGGCTGGCGCGGCTGGCGCGCTTGGCGCACCTGGCGCGCCAGGCGCACCTGGCGCACCTGGCGCGCCTGGCGCACCTGGCGCGCTTGGGGCGCGTGGCGCACCTGGCGCGCCTGACGCACCTGGCGCACCTGGCGCACCTGGCGCACCTGGCGCACCTGTGACACCTGGTGCGCCTGGCGCACCTGGCGCACCTGGCGCACCTGGCGCGACTGGCGCAGTTGGCGCGCATGGCGCGCCTGGCGCACGTGGCGCACCTGGCGCGCCTGGCGCGCTTGGCGCGCGTGGCACACCTGGCGCGCCTGGCACACCTGGCGCTCTTGGCGCACCTGGCGCACAGTGCGCGCCTGGCGCGGCTGGGGCGCCTGGCGCACCTTGCGCACTTGGCGCGCCTGGCGCGCCTGGCGCACTTGGCGCACCTGGCGCACGTGGCGCACCTGGCGCACCTGGCGCACGTGGCGCGCCTGGCGCACCTGGCGCGCATGGCGCACCTGGCGCACATGGCGCGCCTGGCGCACTTGGCGCGGCTGGCGCACCTGGCGCACCTGGCGCACTTGGCGCACTCGGCGTGCCTGGCGCACCTGGCGCACCTGGCGCACATGGCGCATCTGGTGCGCCTGGCGCGCCTCGCGCACCTGGCGCGCCTGGCGCGCCTGGCGCACGTGGCGCACCTGGCGCACTTGGCATCTGGCGCACCGGGCGCGCCTGGCGCACGTGGCGCGCCTGGCGCACCTGGCGCGCATGGCGCCGTGGCGGCCGACTGGGCCAACGGTGCCTTGCGCACCATAACTTCGCTGCAGTTCTTCGTCCTTTCCCCGCCGCTGCTGATCCCAGACATCATCCTTATCCTCCCTCCTCCTCCCTCCTCCTCCTCCTTCTCCTCCTCCTCCTCCTCCTCCTCTTCCTCTTCCTCCTCCGGCTCCTCCTCCTCTGGGGGCGGCGCGCATTCCCCGCCCAGACTATGTGGGCCATGTTGGGCCATCTGTATGTATATATATATAGATAGATAGATATGTGTGTGCATTCGTAGGTATATATACACATATGCCACACGCTGCATCTATACATATTTGTACATGTGTATATATACATGCATGTATACACATATGTGTGCATGTATGTATGTATATATATATATAGATATTCGTAACTTGTATGCACATAATCATGTGTTTAAACAATTTCATATACGTTTACATATATATATATATATATATACATATATATATATGTATATACACGTTGTCACACATGCGCATATAATATATGTAGATTCATCGGACACACATATATAGGCACACGGTTGCATACCCGTATATACATACATCTACATACATACATCTACACATACATATTTATATATCTCTATACAGTTGTGTCCATTCTTATATCGTGTACACATCCATAAACCTACACAGGGTACCTTTGGGATCCTTAAGGGGCCCCAGGGATTCCCCAGGATTATGAGGATCCCTAAAGGGATTTCTCATGATTCCTTAGGATTCCTCGGGAATCCTTAAGAGTCCTAGGGATTCCTTAGGAGCCCCAGGGATTCCTTAGTAGTCCTAGGGATCCCTGAGGAGTCCTGCGGGTTCCTTAGGGGCCCCAGGGATCCCCGACAGTTCCAATGGATTCCCATGGATTCCTAAGGAGTCCCAGGGGTTCCTCAAGAGTTCTAGGGATTCTTCAGGAGTCCTAGGGGTCCCTTAGGATTCCTTAGGACTCCTCAGGGGTTCCTTAGGAGTCCTAGGCGTGCCCAAGGGATTCCCAGGGATTTCTACGGATTCCTCGGGAGTCCTAGTGATTCTTTAGGATTCCTTGGGATTCCTTAGGTCTCCTAGGGATGTTTTGGGATGACCGCGGATTCTTGAGGATTCCTAGGGATCCCTAAGGAGTCCCAGGGAACGAGTCCCAGGGATTCTTACAGAGTCCTTAGGCGTCCTAGGGTTTCTTTTGGGTTGCTAGGGATTCCTTGGGATTCTTAGGCATTCCATAGAATTCCGAGGGATTCGTGAGGATTCCTAGGGGTTCCGCAGGATACCTCATGATTCCGAGGCACTGCTTTGGATTCCTAGGTATCCGTTAGGATTCCATAGGATTCCTAAACATGCTCTAGCATTCGTGAGGATTCCATCGGAGTCTTAGGGATCCCTAAGGGTTCCTTAGGATTCCTAGGGATGTCTTGGCATTCGTGAGGATTCCATCGGATTCCTATTGATTCCTTAGGATTCCTAGGGATGCCTTAGCATTCGTGAGGGTTCCATCGGATTCCTAGGGATTCCTTGGGATTCCTAGGGATGCCTTGGCATTCGTGAGGATTCCATCGGATTCCTATGGATTCCTTAGGATTCCTAGGGATGCCTTAGCATT